ACACGTTTAAAACCCTCAGGTGATATGATACTAGTATTTGTAATATGGGTCACAGATTTATGTATTATTTGTGAAGTAAGTTTCAAGAGACGTGGCCCGATGGTATCAACACCTGAAGATTTACTTATATCTAGTTCATTGAGTAAAGATAGTACTTCATCATGACTTATAAGCGGGATACCAAACATGTCTGTACCCAATTTAGACTTTACAAAATCCAAAAGACCTGTAAAGTCATTTTCCTCCTTACTTACGCCTGAAAGAAGTTCTGCAGAAATATTTGAAAAATGAGAATTAAACATTTCTACTATTTCTTGTGTATGCTCTGTGATATTATTATTTTTGGCAAGTGCGGCTGGAATATATTATGTAATTTAGAAGCTAAATTGTTTAATACATCCCACATCTGTTTCGGATTTTTGTTTTGTTCTACAGTTGTTTTGTAATAACTAGTCTTGGCGTTTTCAATTAGCGATGTAACTTTATTGCGCCATATTTTGAAATTTGAAGTCCTTATTTTTATGAAGGTTATCGCGCATGTATTGTGCTTTCATAATTTCTTGCGTTAACCATTTAGGTCCTGTGTCATGCTTAACTCTGTTTGATTTTACCTTTGCATATTTATCTAATACAGCATTAAACAGTGAATAAAATTTCTTTAGTGCTTATTTAAGGTCAGAGAATAATTCTAATGATTGGAAGTTTACTTTTAAGTTTGCAAGAAAATTATTTTCATTAAATTGTTTGATGTCTCTATATGTTATTTCTGTGCGTTTGAACTTGTTGATGATTTTATTTAATTTTCTTGTTTTCTAATTGTTCTCTAATTTTCAAATTAAAAGAGTGCATATCGTTCAGAATATTATTTTGAATGTCTTTTGTTCAATACTGTTTATCAAAATATTCTTCCTTTTCGAGATATATTGCGCCAAAGATTATGTAACCTGGCCCCTAAAGACCCCTTATTGCGTAACATATAATATCAAAATCATGTTATATATGAAGATGAACTATTTCGCTTCAGTAATATATTACAAAATAATGATCATTAAAGAGTTATTGATTGTATACTTTCGGTCCCTCTCAGCCCCTTATTTAATGGGTCAGACCCTTTACCTTAATATCACCTTAAAGCTCTTATGATTTTGAACACTTTTTGTTCAACAATTATTCAAAAATTCTTTTTCATTTCCGAGATATATGCAAAGGATATATTTAGGGGCCGGCCCTTCAACTCCTTAATGGGGACGTTTAGCAAAAATCAAAAGGTTGCATATTGTTTAGAACATTATTTTGAATAACTTTTTTTCAATATTGCTTATCAAAATATTTTCCACTTTTGAGATATAAAGCGTCAAAAATTTAGCATTCTGGCCCCTTATGGCCCCTAATTATGCAACATATGATGTAAATAGCATAATATATAGTTGTAAATTGTTAAGATAAACATTTTTGCTTCAGTAATGCATTACAAAATATTGATCCTGATAAAATGACAATCAAATAAAAATCATTTATGGTTATGTACATGTACCTTATTTAAAATTTAATGGAGAAAAAATAATCGAGATCGACATCCATTAATTCCCAACACCCTGCATGAATTAATTTGCGAGTACCCTGTTAAAATATAAACAACTCTAAAGAACCCCAGTGAACTCTAGCTATATTTGGTTAATTGATCGTCGAATTGAAAAATACATTTTATTTATTTTATCGAATATTTGAATATATTCATATACTTTCATTGAATATTCGAATATGAATTATTGACAAAATTGACATCCCTACTTTATATTGATGATAGAATGTCGGTCGGTTTGTCTGTGACCATAACAGGAAAAGATGAGCTCAAGCGTGCGATAATTATCACAGGGCAATTAATTTGTTGAATTTTAAGATAATTTTAGGTCCCATTCGAGAATTTTTAATTCAAATAGAAACGTTACTATATACCGGAGAAAGGCTTGACCTTAACTCGGCAATCAGGCCCATAGAACAGTGAGGGTCTTTATTTTGCCAACGCTTACTGTGACACGGGTCTCCGTTTTTAAGGTTTCATCCGAAAGATCCTCATTCTTTACTTGAAAGTGCTGAGAGCTTGGCGACGAAACATTATCTATTTATCATGTTTAAGCATCTTTTAAATAATAAAGAACATTATTGTGAAAACCGCTGATTTTAGTTAATATATTGATTTTATGTCTCCCAGTTAATTCGATAAGCAAGAGTATGCTCTGCGTTCGTACTTTTAAAACGAGGCAAGCTGTCGACAAATAGATTGATTGATTGACTGTATGTTGTTTAACGTCCAATTCGAGAATTCATAGAGACGTGACAAAGACGTGATGAAACAGGGATATCGGCAGTCTCATTAAGAGTCAGCATTTTGCAAATTCTATGGGAGATGCGATGACCTTATCAGTAAATACAGTCTATCATGAAGTCGAATGTTGACTAATGTTTTTATACAAATTGTTTGGCAATTGTTTTTACATTGAATTGTTTCCCCACCATGACAGAGAGCACACGGTGGACGGTGAATTTGACCGGCCGACAGGGAATGCTTAGACCTCCATGGCACCTGATACCACCTCTCATATTTTAATGGTTTATGTATGCACTGCTCCAAGTTTGTATTGTTTTATTAGACGTTTGAGCTAGTTTACCGTTTGTTATCTTCATATTTTATGGTACAAAAAAGCTACTACCTGATACATATTAATATATTACATGTATATAGACGTTTCACATGTACGCACTACAAAAGAAAATCAAATCTAACACATTTATGTATGTGCTAGTATGTAAGATCAATAATTATGTAAATCTTGCCTCAGAATAAAAATCGGATTTGGTTTCTACTAACAGTATATCATAGCACCTACTACATATGAAGTTAATTGTACTTTTACCTATTCTCAAAAGTTAAGCATATTTTATGACTAATGCTATCTTGTAAATTAGTCGAAAATGAAAACTAAATACTGTGGAATTATTGAAATTCGTGGGGGCCAAAATTCATGGATTTGTTTAATTTTACAGGTTTGTGGGGATGTAACCTCGTTTATTTTCTGATACCTACAAAAGAAAATATGACTTTATAATCCTATTTCATCAATTCCTTAAGGATGTAAATCTTGGATGAGAGTTAGACAAGAAATCTAAGAAATTTGAGTCACAATGAAATCCACAATATAAAGAACAGTAATAATTCTCAAAAGTTCCTTTAAAGAAATCATGAGCAGAGCCAAGAGTGACCTCTGAAAACGAGGTGGGATCAGGTGCAATCGAAAAGAATATATCTCTTGTCGACAGGTCACATCCGCCGTGTGATCTTTGTCATGATCGGGTGGAAGTTCAAAGTGAAAATAATTGCCTGACAATTTGTCCGTAAATCGTCAGCTTACATTCAACACAACAACAGATTGTAATCGCAAATAAGATAATTGTATCAACCATAGAATTTGCAAAATAATGACTTTAAAAGAGATTCTTTATATTCTAGTACAATCAATTTATTTTTTGATAGCCTGCTTCTTTTGAGAAATTGTTCGTACTTAGAATATGCCCTTACATTATTAGCCTACCTGCTTTTATATTCCTATGAAAAAAAAAAAGAATGCATTCAAAAAATTCTAAATGAGAAGGAAACTTCTGTGTGCAATTCAATTCAAATCGACATTTAAAAAATCATATCGACTACGTTTCGTTTATGAAAATATATATTGTAGTTAATTCAATCCATATGTCGATTCGATTTGTCCCAATGAACTCGAAATTAAAGACACCACAAAGTTTACCATATCAGTTTCATATTTGGATTTTTACAGACTATTAAAGTTAAGGACAAACAAACAGCTAAACTGTATGACAAACGAGATGATTTCAGCTACTCCATCGTTATAGCTTTCCTTATTTATGTAATAATATTTCGCTATCACCTGCATATGGTGTTTATGTCTCTAAACTTTTTCGATACTGATCCGAGTACGATCAAACTTTAAACCAAAACAGGCTTCTTTACAGATGTGTTGATAAGTAGGGATTTCAACGTTTAAAGTGTCAACATTTAGTTAATTTGTTGGTCGATTTAATGACCTTGCAAATATAACCTATCATGGGGTCTATCTTCGACTGATATATTTCGTACCAATTGTTAAGATTTGTTTTATTCTAAATTTGACTTCTAAATATTCTGTCTACCTGATCAATACAAAGGGCTCACGGCGGATGTGATCGGTCGCCATGGCATGTTAACTCCTCCTTGGTTTCTGATCCAGCCTCTGCAAATGCCCCGAGATCGAGTGCTTGGGGGGGGGGGATCAATCTTCGATAACTTTACTTTTTTCATTGCGTTTCTCTGTCATTAATCCGTAAGGACAGATGATTGAAAATCATTGCTTTTTTTTAATCACAGAAATAGCAACGACACCTTTGTTTATATAGGTAAATGAGCTTAGCCGCGCTAATTTAAATTTTTACATCAAAGTTTCAACATTGTATTTTAAAAAGTGAAGAAAAATTGAATAAAGATATGATGGTAAAGTCAAAATGTTAGAATTTTGAAATTTTGGAAAGTAAAGTTTACAATTTCTTTATTAAAAAAAAGATATTTTTATTCTTTACGAATAACATATGTCAAAAAAGATGCCAATCAAGGCATCGTTTATTCCTTAAAATTATCTGTCCTTATCATATATATTTGTCCAAATTACATATTTAGAACCTATAAAATTATACAGGACAAACTCCGTGAACAAAGCTTAGAATAAATCTAATAAATTTTGTCTGACAAAACGATGATGTTAGAGGCTTAATTCTACGAAAGGGATAACATAAAATGAATGTCATTGAACTCTTAGGAATTCCCACTGAATACTCACGATTTTTTTAAATCACTTTGACAGGTGGGCTTATGAAAATGAACGGTACATCAAAAGCTTGTTGAAGTAGCACTATAAATAAGAATGATATGTAGTCTATTTCTCACTTAAGATCTCCTCTGAGACCTTTCACTTCAACAAAGGTAAGATCATTTTTTTAGAATTATAGCTTCCCTAGAAAACAATATAGTAAACTTAAGGAGGGATTCTTCTCTTATTCTACTCATATTTCTTGTATTTAAAAATTAATGAAATTTTCATAGATTCAAGAAGACAATATCACTAAGTGATGGTATCAATTAGATTAAATTTGACCGTTTTATTTTAGAAACAAGGTCACGTCAAGGTCATTATCTTTTTACTTGACATTTAGAATAAAAAATTACTGTTGTTAATCATGTGATGCCTACTTCTATTTTAAAAGATAAAATGTTTTTTTTCTTTTTGCACAAAAAGATGTTACCATATCGGGTCTATCAGATGATTCGACCAAATTAATTGACATTATTTAACTTAAATAGATATTGGCTAATCCGGATTTCCTCTGTTTTTCTTATTTTTTTAGGGTATATTAGTTATTTTTATATACTTCTTATATTTAAATATTTCTTCTTTTTTTTACATATGGTTAAGTAGTCATATAAATATACAAAGTGATACAAAAACAAAAAGATTTGACCGTATAGTATGAGAGAAAAAACACTTTTTACTGATTTTTTTGCTCAAATCTGTTTTTAAGGTTGGAGGCTTTCAAAAGCTAACAAGATTGTAGTTTGTTTAGAAAATTGTTTTTATTTGCTATGTTTTAAAACTTTAGGGCATTATTATTAATTTCAGTTACATATCAAAATTTCCTCAAGTCTTTGTTTGTTTAAAAAAATTAACCAAATGTAATGTTCTGCAAGTGATTTTGATAGGCAGAAAAGGAGATATTTTCATACGCCGCAGTTGTGTCAAAAATATAGTCCCTTATGGATTTCAAACTCAGTTTACCATTTCTATTTAAAACTGTACAATTATGATGAGTAAAGAGAAATATGACCTTTTAAATACATTACAGCTAAGTTTATAAAACATACAAGCAAATAAACTTGGATTATTTCGTCTAGTCAGAAACCAGACAAGAATCCCTCCTTAAGTTTTCTATACTATTAAAATTGAACTATTGTAAATCTATGCAATTTTACTACAGATGTAAAATTGTTAGTTTTTATGTTCTCAAATTCATACATGCACATTTTGATATTATATGGAAATATTACTTTTATATTAAGTTTTGAATTTAAGAATTTTTATGTTTCGAATATGTAAAAAAAAGAATAAAGTTTCACATTAATTCAAATTATCAAAGTATTTATCTTAGTTAATTATAGATAACTATAATTCTTTTTTAATGTTACTTTATCTTCATATTTAAATGTTAGTAGTAGAAATGTCGAAAAAATAAGCTTGTGTGGAATTGAGGAATGTGGTTTTAAAATAATCGTCAGTGATTTAAATCTATTGACAATTTAAGGAGGGATTCTTCTCATAGGAACACTTATTTCTAATATTTAAAAAGCAATGAAATTTTCACAGAATCAAAGAGACAATATCACTAAGTGATGGTATCAGTTAGATTAAATTTGACCGTTTTATATTAGAGGCAAGGTCAGGTCAAGGTCAGTACCTTTTCCCTGGACATAAATAATAAAAAATTACTGTTGCCAATCATGCCATGCCTACTTCTATTTCAAAAGATTAAATGTTTTTTTTTTCTTTTTGCATAAAGAGATATTACCATATAGGGCCTATAAGATGATATTACCATATTGACGTAAATAATTTAACTAAAATGGATATTGGCTAATCCGAATTTTCTCTATTTTTCTTTAAATTTTAAAGATATTTTAGTTATTTTTATATGCTTCCTATATTTATTTTTTTCTTATTTTCACATATTGTAAAGTTGTCACATAAAGATACAAAATGATATAAAAACAAAAAGTTTTGACCGTTTACTAAGAGAGAAAAAACACTTTTTACGGATTTTTGACTCAAATCTGAACTTAGATTGGAAGCTTTTAAAAGCTGAAATAATCGTGATTTGTTTGGAAAATCATATTTATTTGATATATTTTAAAACTTTAGTCCCTTATTATTAATTTAACTTACATTTAAAAATTTTCTCCAAGTCTTTGATTGTGTAAAAAGTATAACTAAATTCATTGTTCTATAATTATTTTGAGAGGCAGAAAAGAAGATATTTTCATACGCCGCCATTCCGCCAAAAATATAATCTCTGCTAGATTTCAAACTCAGTTTACCATTTCTATTTAAAGTTGTACAATTGTGATGAGGAAAGAAAAATATGATTTTTTTAAATCTCTTACATCTAAATATATAAAACATATAAGCAAATATACTTTGAATATTTCATCTTGTCAGAAACCAGACAAGAATCCCTCCTTAAAATATCTAAAAATCGACTTGAAGGAAATCTGGTAACGACTCAGGGTAACAACAAACGAGGAACAAATAACAAACACGGGATAAAACCAAGAAAATTCAATTGCAAAACATGAGCATTTGTTACTAAGTACAAATTTAAAGAAGAAAAAATATATACCTTTCCATACATTATATGATTTAAGCATTTAAATGCCGCATTCTGGATAATCTGTTTCTATTAAGGGTACTTATAGTGCTGGGGAGTGGGGGTGATTATTTTGCTAGTATTAACACATAATATATTTTATGAAATGATAATTAATTTCTTACCACTTTAATTCCCAAACGTACCTGTCATAAAAATAGTTTTCCTACGAATAATCATGGGATTCTTCAACAAATTATTTATTTAAGTTTTCATTATAAACAGGTGACTGGGAAATGAATAAGATACTGCCTACTCGGCGTGAAACCATAAACAATATGCAAAATATCCTATATTTTACTCGAAACCAATCAAATTGTTTCATTTTGAACTTCAACACTCTGAAAGATCTTGTGATTTATTAGATGATGTTGAAGCTGCTGTGTTTCCTTGTTCTGCTGTCTGCAGCCGTGGGTTATATTTATCATGGCCCCTTCTACGGCTTCTACCATGGAGTACTGGGAAGAAGAGGGGGTAACTATGAAGGCCCAGGATATATAAGAAAATACTATGGAGGAAGAGGACTTGTAGGAGATTATCGTTATGACAAAGGAGCTGGAGATTTTTACGGCAGCAGAGGATAAAAAGTTATTTTCTACGGTTAGGTACTATATGTTCAAATTTTTATTATTATTCATTAATCAATTTATTTATTTATTTATTTATATTTACATCTATATTCCGTAGATGAACTCTTTGAAAAGAAAATATGTTCAATTCTGTATGAACTTATCAATGGGTCAGAGGTCATAAGGTGACCAAATCATAGGACTAGATGATATCTTACCTACATATATCTGTCACAAGGACACTGGATTTAGAATTTTGAAAAAAGATAAAATGATTGAAATATGTGGATATTTTTTTAATCAACAGTTATCCATTAGATATATTAGAACACTGTTATCTTCACCTTTTTCATCTTTCTTTTGATTTGAATAATAGTAAAAAAAAATCGCGTTAACCTTTTTAACCCGAAACAGACGATATCACTGCTTTTGACCTAACATATATAAAGAACTCATAAAGTATTAAGACTATTCTCAATACCAGTTATTGTTCTATCATTATTAAGATAGATTTCCTGAACCCGATTGCTAAACATCAATGTGCTACAGAGGTAAATTTCTGTATTTCTTATCGAATGATCTTCTCGAATGTAAATATAAATACTATTCAACATGGTTAAAACGTTCACTGGTAGATGGACTTAGTTGGCACGTGATAAAATCTACAGAGAAACCATTCGGGATTCACAGGATTTGGTCACGTGATGACCAACCAAGTTCATTTCCCATAGAACGTTCTTTTATCTTGTTATTCATCTCTTTATTTTAATTATTTATTAAATATTTATTTATTTATTTTTGGCCTTCTTTTAGAAATGAAATAAAATATATTTAATATAAATGTAACATTTAATCTGACATTTTTCTTCATTTTTCAGGATTATTTATGAAAACTTGGATGAATGTGTTTATGTCAGCACCGGTATATGACTGTTTATCAAACAAACATTATTAGTAATGAGGCTCCTATTTAATGTATTTAGAGCTCTAATTTATAAGGGTTTAAACTTTATATTATGAGGGCAAGTGTTCAATAAAAATATACTTTGTAATGTCATCACAAGCATTAAATAAAACAGAATGAGAGTACATTATACATTTTTCTACAGCTATTGTGGAGATCAAAGAAATTAATCTCCAATAAATCACAATTGTCATCCAAAAATTATCAGTTCAGAAACATATATCAAAACTGTTCAGTTGTAATGAATATTTGAGCTTAGAATCTTATACGTAATTAGTTATTATTATTATTATTATTATTATTATTATTTTATATATATATATATATGTATATATATATATATATATATATATATATATATATATATATATATATATATATATATATATATATATATATATATATATATATATATATATATATGATGAGTTCTTCATTATACTTAATTAATTATATCAATATGTCATCTTTCGCAGTCTAAAGAGTGTGTATTGCCTGAAACAGCAGCATGATAATTTTCGGTTTTCATAGCTAAATGAAGCTAGTCCACAGACCTTCCCACAACATTTATATTCCTTGATTTTTAATGATAAAGCAATTAAATAGACAACTGATTTTATTATTTTACTTTCATAAAGATTAATCCATATATATTACAAACAAATTTATAAATAATTAAAGGATGTTTTTAATCCAACAAAAGCTCTAATCGTCTGCATACCATTGCAATCGATACACAAGTAAACAAACAAATTGACCTTCTGGTGTTAAAGCTTAATCGCAACATTGTGATCTATTTCCTATTTCGTTTCTCTATAGAGGAAATAATCAACGTATTTTAGAACTGTTAGTAGAATAAAAATAAAGTTCTTGTCGTGAATGATACAGGATAACCTTCGAGGTCGAGAAATGTTCGGCTAACGCCTCGGCTTCTATTTTTCAAACAACATATTTCTCGATCTCGGAGGTTATCCTGTAACATTCACAAAAACGCAAATTTTATTTCTTAGATATATTACAGATGATTGAACCAATTACAACCGTCAATTTGACTGTTATAATGAACCCTTGTATTACAAAAGAAACACGATGGCTAAGGTGCCACATGGAAATATCTAAAAACACATTTTCTATAAGGATGGGCAATTCCTTTAGGACTTGACTGATTTCGGACAAATGCAATGAATTTGTTCAAAACTACATGACATGTCAAGGATTATTAGGATTTTTTTATTTAGACTTGTCGCTTGAAGTGGCAGTCAAGTGATTTTAGCAAAAATACTTAATTGCAGTTTTGAAGTCATCTATAAATTCCAATATTGCAAGGCAAAACCATGTAAAAAAAAATCTAATTTTAAATTATAACTATTTTCAATTATTTGTATTTTCTTGAGTTTTTGTGTAAAAGCTTGTCTTGATCTATTGAGGGCATGCCCTTGCAATATATTGATTTATTAAGAGCCTTCTATTTCCTTCCAATTAATTTGCATTATGAAATATACGGCAGTATCACTTGTCTTGGGAATATGTGGAAATTATATGAATAAAATTAAAAAACAAACATCGCATCCAAGTTAAGGACCTCTTATATATCGCAAATAATAATTTATTTGATTTAATACTACATTTTCCTTGCGTAAAATATAACTGGATCCCCTTCTCACTTTATACAAACTGTGTCAAATTTTACATAATGTGACATTGACAAGTACATTGCGATTAGTGATTTGTTTATATCTTGCTGTGTAGGATTTAACTAATTATAAAACTACATGTAATAATAAATGCTTATACAGTCTAGAGCTATATAATAGTGTAAAATAGCAAATCATTTCATTTTGTGGTAATGTTAGGAAACTGATATCTTTGTGTGATGTCATAGTAAACATTTCTCATATAAATTAGGCTCCACCTTCTTTTCGTAGCCTTAAATTTGCTTCGATGTACTGTAAATGTCACGACACAAAATTGTCTTGTTTTTGTACTATTTCCAGTTGTAATTCTGCTTACTTTTGAGATGGTTTTCATGGGCTTTGATACTGCATCGCGGCCACATCAATTTCAAAACGTTTTGATACGTGAGAAAGACTGTTAGACCTTTGTTTTTATACTAAAGAGCTAAGCCTACGATGGGTCAAAATATGCCCTGTAAAATGGTCAAAATGAAACTGAAGTTTAAGCTTAAGTTGAAATATTTTCTACTTGAAAGATAGTGTAGGAATTATACCTTATGAAGGTACAAAAAGTCTTTGATTTTTGTGCAGGCATGCATGAAATCTAGATCTATGCCCTGAATTTTATGCGATACAAGATGTGCTTAAATTTATTACGTTTTTTGGTAAAAATGCTCAAATTTCATTAGGAGCAAAGGCCTGTCCCAAATTTATTCAGGTGTCAGTTTAAAAATAATATCAAATGTATCTAAAGCTTTTATGGGGGCAGATGTGTAATAATACCTAAAATCAACATTTTACAAAAATCCGAAATACGTCTTTTTTTAACATTTTCACATTTTGTTATATAGATCTGATTTTTTATTTGCTTACAAATGATATATTTCTAATTGCAATATTTTTTTTACATTTTAAATTACGATTAAATAGGTATATTCGAATATTTAATTTTTTGTTTCATTAGTAATAGTTTTATTTCGGAAACTGTTTTCCTACTACAATTACTTAAGTTTTAAGTTTTACTACAATTAGTTAAATCTAATACATGCATAAGTATACGTCCTCGTGTTCGATAGTTATTTACTGACATTGATCTGTTTAAAAAAATGACAAAAATATAAACTTTGTAAATAACACAATTGTTCTGTTTTTAATACATTCTAAAACAGATCTGTTAGGCAAAGGTATAAGATTTGCTGGTTACAAGCATCACTGGGGATGTTGTGCCCAGTAAAAGATATGCAAGATTACCTGAATGTAAGCATGCAAACCCGGGCCCCCTCTTTTGTCACTATTGTATCAAACCTTTATCCCTTCCCAACTTTCATCAGTATAACCAAAAATTTTGAATGGAATGGACATTGATGGTAGAAACTTTAAATCGCATGCATTTAGAATTGGTATAGCAACAGAACAAGCTCAACTGATATGTAAGATGATATCAATAAATCATATATCAGTGAATAGGAGATAAAGGGCATACACAAACATATCCAAATTTACCAAATGATTTCCACAGGTCAACAGTTAGTGTGCTACTCATTTTATCATAATGCAATAACTTGAAACTAACATTTATTTTACTCACACAAAAACTGATTCTTTATACAGTTTTTATGGTGGCATATTTCTGCCCCATGTGTGCAAGTTATTTTTCTCTCAAATATGTCGACATGCAAGATAGATATGTTGACATGCAAGATAGTTATGTCAACATGCAACATAACTATGTTGACATGCAAGAAAATTGTAATCAAATAAAAATTATAAAAAAATCTTCAAAAATCTCAAATATTGCCCACATGGGACTTCCAATATGCTAGATGCTACTTATTTATGTCGACATGCAAGTTATTTATGTTGACATGCGAAATAAATATGTTGACATGCAAGTTATTTATGTCAACGTGCAACTTTGATATGTTAACATGCTACTTATATGTCAAAAATTATAAAAAAAAAAATCTTCACAAATCTCAAATATTGCCCACATGTGACTTCCAATATGCTAGATGCTACTTATGTATGTCGACATGCAAGTTATTTATGTTGACATGCGAAATAAATATGTTGACATGCAAGTTATTTATGTCAACGTGCAACTTTGATATGTTAACATGCTACTTATATGTCAACATGCAACTTATTTATGTCAACATGCAACTTAGTTATGTCAACATGCAATTTGTTTTTGTCAACATGCAACTTAGTTATGTTGACATGCAACTTAGCTATGTTGAGTAACAGATATATATATAAAATTTAAAAAAAAGTAAATATCCAAAAATGAAATTACAAGTCGATGTGAATATCTTAAGACACAGGAATTGCGAAAAAGTTTGCAGTGAATATGATCGATTTGTGATTTTATTTTGGATATATACTTTTTTTTAAATATGATCGATTTTCAAAATAAGATTTTGAATTAAATGATCAAATTTAAATGCAAAAGAAATTATGTGATACACAATTTGAACATTTGTGCGAGCGTGCAGACTCGTTACTACCCAAGACACGTGCAATGAGGCACGGTTCTGTTTGTATGTTTGTTTGTTTGTTTGTTGATTTAGAAACGGGACCGTAGATTATAAAACGTTTTTAGGGCACCTCTCTGCGGGCGACCTATAGTAATTAGTGTGTCCGTCCGTCCGTCCATCTGTTCATCTGAGGTCTCTTTTAAAGGGTGTGCAGTGACCTTGAACTATGTATTAAGGTCTAAGGTTAAGGTCATAGTAGAACTGTATCTGAAAAATGCTTGTAAACATAATTAAGTTGCATGTCGACATAAATATGTTGCATGTCAACATATTTAACTCGCATGTCAACATAACCAAGATGCATGTCAACATAAATAAGTTGCATGTCGACATAAATAAGTTGCATATCAACATATTTATCTCGCATGTTAACATAAATAAAATGCATGTTGACATAAATAAGTAGCATCTAGCATGTTGGATGTCACATGTGGGCAATATTTGAGATTTTTGAAGATTTTTTATGATTTTTATTTGCTTACAATTTTCTTGCATGTCAACATAGTTATGTTGCATGTTGACATAACTATCTTGCATGTCAACATATTTATCTTGCATGTCGACATATTTGATTGAAAAATAACTTGCACATAAGGGGCAGAAATATGCCACCATAAGTTTTAAATTGCTGCCCGTTGAAAAATATTTTTTGCTTTGTCGTACGTACCTTTAATATATTATGTCGTACGGGTTAGATACTAAGTCGTTCTTACAAGATAGTATGTCGTTAGTGTACGAGATAATGTGTCGTACGTACGAGATGCGAAGTCAAATGAACGACATATTAAGTCGTTATTGCGAGATAATAAGTTGTATAAACGACATACAGGAAGTCGTACAAACAACATAAAAGTCTAAGTAGTTATAAAGAGATACTAAATTGTACGAGATAATT